CATGATCATCTCATACAACAATTTATATGTCATCACGTCTTGACCATATCACATCACAACATGCCCTGCAAAAACAAGTTAGACGTCCTCTACTTTGTTGTTGCAAGTTTTACATGGCTGCTACGAGCTTCTAGCAAGAACCGTTCTTACCTACGCAGCAAAACCACAACGATTTTTGGTCAAGTGTGGTGTTTTAACCTTCAACAAGGACCGGCCAGAGTCAAACTCGATTGAAGTAAAGTTGGAGAAACAGACACCCGCCAACCACCTGTGTGCAAAGCATGTCGGTAGAACCAGTCCCAAGAACGCGGTCATGTAATGTCGGTCCGGACCGCTTCATCCAACAATACCGCCGAATCAAAGTAAGGCGTTGATGGTAAGCAGTATGACTATTATCGCCCACAACTCTTTGTGTTCTTCTCGTGCATATCATCTACGCACAGACCTGGCTCAAATGCCACTGTTGGGGAACGTAGCATGCAATTTCAAAAAAAAACTACGATCATGCAAGATCTATCTAGGAGATGCATATCAACGAGAGGGGGAGAGTGTGTCCACATACCCTCGTAGACCGAAAGCGGAAGTGTTAGGTAACGCGGTTGATCTAGTCGAATGTCTTCACGATCCAACCGATCCAAGTACCGAACATACGGCACCTCCGTATTCAGCACATGTTCAGCTGGATGATGTCCCTCGAGCTCTTGATCCAGTACAGGGTCGAGGGAGAGTTCCGACAGCACGACCGCGTGGTGACGGTGACGGTGATGTGATCCGCACATGGCTTCACCTAAGCACTACAACGCTATGACCGGAGGAGTAAACTGTGGAGGGGGGCACCGCACACAGCTAAGAGAAATCTTGGTGTGCCTTTGGGGTGCCCCCCGCCCCCGTATATAAAGGAGGGGGAGGTGGCCGGCCAGGGGTGGCGTGCCATGAGGGGGGGTCCTACTAGGACTCCGTTCCTAGTAGGATTTCCCTCCCCCCCTTCCTTCCAGCGGAGAGGGGAAATGGAAAGGAGGCAAAGGGAGAAGGAAAGGGGGGCCAGGCCCCCTCCCCTTGTCCAATTTGGATTGGGAAAGGGGGGGCGCCACCTCCCGTGGCCTGCCTCCTCTCCTCCACTATGGCGCATTAGGCCCATTAACTGTCCCGGGGGGTTCCCGTAACCTCCCGGTACTCCGAAAAATCCCCGAACCTCTTCGGAACCATTCCGGTGTCCGTATATAACCTTCCAATATATGAATCTTTACCTATCGACCATTTCAAAACTCCTCGTCATGTCTGTGATCTCATCCGGGACTCCAAACAAACTTCGGTCACCAAAACACATAACTCATAATACAAATCATCATCGAACGTTAAGCGTGCGGACCCTACGGGTTTGAGAACTATGTAGACATGACCGAGACACATCTCCGGTCAATAACCAATAGCGGAACCTAGATACTCATATTGGTTCCTACATATTCTACGAAGATCTTTATCGGTCAAACCGCATAACAACGTACGTCATTCCCTTTGTCATCGGTATGTTACTTGCCCGAGATTCGATCGTCGGTATCCTCATACCTAGTTCAATCTCGTTACCGGCAAGTCTCTTTACTCATTTCGCAATGCATCATCCCGCAACTGACTCATTAGTCACATTGCTTGCAAGGCTTATAGTGATGTGCATTACCGAGAGGGTCTAGAGATACCTCTCCGATACACGGAGTGACAAATACTAATCTTGATCTATGCCAACTCAACAAACACCTTCGGAGACACCTGTAGAGCATCTTTATAATCACCCAGTTACGTTGTGACATTTGATAGCACACAAGGTGTTCCTCCGGTATTCAGGAGTTGCATAATCTCATAGTCAGAGGAATATGTGTAAGTCATGAAGAAAGCAATAACAATAAAACTAAACGATCATAATGCTAAGCTAACAGATGGGTCTTTTCCATCACATCATTCTCTAATGATGTGATCCCGTTCATCAATTGACAACACATGTCTATGCTCAGGAAACTTAATCATCTTTGATTAACGACCTAGTCAAGTAGAGGCATACTAGGGACACTCTGTTTGTTTACGAATTCACACATATACTAAGGTCGGTTAATACAATTCTAGCATGAGTAATAAACATTTATCATGATATAAGGAAATATAAATAACAACTTTATTATTGCCTCTAGGGCATATTTCCTTCAAGAATAAACTAACAATATCAACAGCACTACATTAAAATTTGGGCTCTTACTATGAATCCCTGTAAACAACCTACGAATAAGAAAGTGCCTACAATCTATGATCTACAAACCCTAATCATAACCCTACCAACAAAAAATGTAACATAACACAATACGAGTCACAAGCAATCTACGATCTACAAACCCTAGCCATAACCCTACCAACAACAAAAAGTAATAGAACACAATACGAAACACAAGCAATCTACGATCTTCAAACCCTAGATGTAACCCCTTAACCCACATACTCCTAACTCTAACCCTAGCTCCCCTACCAATGTGGGTGGCGGCCACGGCCGTGGGTGTTGGTGGCAGCCGCGGCCGTTGGTGTGGGTGATGGCGGGGACGACGAGATCGTATCAAATCCTATGTCGCGGTGACGGCGGGGCCGACGAGGGCGACGAACAGGACGAAGGGGTCGACGGGGCAGACAAGAGGACGGTGGGGCCGACGGGGATGGCGAAGAGGACAGTGGGGCCAACGAGGGCGGCCAAGAGGATGGCAGGGCCAGCGGGGCCGGCGAAGTGGACGGCGAGGAAGAGGCGACAGCGGCGCCGAGAGCGAGATCCATGGGGTAGAGTTAGGGTGAGTGAAGTGAGTGGGAGGGAAGCCAGGGTGCGTGTGGGTTGATAAAACATGTTTGTGTTGCGACGGGCGGTAACGAGCAAGCGCCACAGCTATGTTGTAACAAAAGTGGACATCTAGCAAGGATAACTAGTGGCGGTTGCTAGATAACGCTCGCCACTGCTTGGTCATCTACCTGTGGCAGGCATTAGATAGAGCCCGTCACTGCTGAGTTACGCAAACAAGTCCCGCCCGGGAGATTATACCTGTGGCGGGTCATGAGTTCTGCCCGCCATAGTTAGCCTATTAGTTGTGGCGGGCAAGTTTTGCTACCCGCCACTGATTGTTTTTATAAATAGTTGTGGCAGGTGCCCCGCCTCGCCCAACACTCATTTGGCTTCACCTATAAGTCATTTCCCAGTAGTGCCAACTTTTAGACTGCCATCATCATTCCAACAAATTCTAGCAATGTTGGAGGACAAACAATTTTCCCTTCGACTTGGCCATTTATCGGCACCTCTCTTGGGCTAAGTTAACCTAAAACAAACTAATGATAAAAATGATAAGAATGCTCAAAGTAATGCAAATGTGGCAATCAAAAAAAGTCTTATATGTTGGTCAATGGTGACACCGCTAGCAAGGAGGAGCGTGCTTCATTTGCTCCAAACAACCGTTCAAACGACCGTCTCTTCAATCATACCCCATTGGTTTGTGAGGGATTTGAGGGCACGATCTGATCTCCACCCAAGATAACATTTGAAACAATCGTCGATGCACTCCAATACTTACAATACTCGGCGGGCCACCCAGACCACTTGTATGCCGGAGAACTACTCTTCGGAAGCCATCGGAAGAATGGAGAAAATGGTGAAGGAGGAGATGGCGAGCGGCAGATGGGTGCGATGCCCGGTGTCTGGCCTCATTTAAATAGAGGGCAAACGGGAGGAGCTCGGCCAGCGTTTCGCTTAATGCCGACCCACTCATGAATGCCCGTGTGGCTGGAGTAGATTTCTCGGTTTTCACGTGGGTTTGTTGGAGGCCTTTGAATGCAGCGAGGAGGCTTTTTCAGCCGGACGTGTAGCGGGGTGGCGTCCTTGGCTGGCGCGCCGCTTCAATGATAGAGGCAATGAGAGGTCGCGTCTGCCCTGAGCCGTCTTCAATGTTGAGTGGCGCGCTCTACAGTGGCATGAACGGGACAGCTGGCGATAGGCGGGGAATGCGCGCGAGAGGGGGGTGGCGGGCCAAGACGGTCAGAAGCGGGCTTGGGATCGGCCCGGACTCCCACAAACCTTCCCCATGTTTGTCTTCGGTTTGCTGAAGAAATCGCGTCCGGACCGCTCCGGTCAGCGTTGGATGACTTTCACGGTACGGACAACGCAGTCCAGAGGATTGTGGGAGGTTTGAGGGCTGGTGTTGGATGCCCTAATAAGATTAAGCTAAAACTATCTTATCAAGCATTACGCATGCCCCTTAACCACACAGACAAAGCATCGATCGTCAGCCTAATTGCAAAGCACGGTGAGGGCGACCTGCCCTTACGGGCCAGGGTGGCACGCAGCAGCAGCCACTACTACTCCATCCCTGGGAATGCTCTTTCCTTCTTTTGTTTTCTTCCATGTATTGCGAAGAGAATGGAATCGGAGCCGGAGAGCCATGTGTATGCCCATTACCATCAGCGGAATATGTTCCAACCGACAACTACCATCTTCCCCGGCCTCTGCCCTATATAAACCAGTGGCACCTGCTCTCTTCTTCCCCACAACACACACAGCCAGCACCTGCACCTGCATCCCACTGCAAATCCTCCAACTCCACTTCCTTCTCGTGGCGTCTCTTTCCGGCCGGCGTCCCCTAGCCCAGCCTACCTCGCTCCAATCACACCAACAGTCACCTCCACCGTGTCTCCATTTCGCCCTGGCTAACTCGCTGCTCGACTCGCCGCCGCAGCTCCCTGCCGCCGGCCCTTGGGGCTCTCTGTTCGCCGTCCAGGAGCCCGCGAAGCCTCGGCGTGTGTCGCTGGCGCTGCCGTTCGCTCCCAAGAAGATGCCGACGTACCGGTACGGCATGAAGCGGAACCTGGAGATATGCACCGAGGCGCTCGGGTGCGAGACCGGTGGCGTCGACCCAGCCGCGGACGACGGCCCCTTCGAGGGCGTGGAGCGGAAGAGGAAATACAGGGAGGAGGAGGAGGAGGAGACCAAGGTGGAGCCGACGGAGCCGAGGGCGCGCGTGCTGCCGCCGCCGCTGACGACGCTGGCGGCTGGCGCGACCCGCATGCGCATGGTCCACGAGCGGCGCGGCGGGCGGCTGGAGGTGTACGCCGTGCGGACCTCCGGAATGGAGGCCGAGCGGAGCGGCGGGCGTCTTCGGCTCCGCCTCCTGCCCTGCGCCGGCTGCAATGCCGCCGCCGCGTGCAGCAGCCAACAAGAAGCGCAAGAAGCAGAGGAAGATGAGGCAGAGGAGGTCGATCAGCAGCAGCAGCAGCAGCAGGCGTGCGTGGTCCCCAAGTACGTGCGCCGCGAGCGGTGCCTGAAGGTGGAGAGTGGCGCCACGGCGGCGAGGTGCAGCATCAAATGGGAGCAGGAGCAGGCTGCCGCCTTCTGGGTGGCCACCACCTGAACTACAAAGCCTTCTTCTTCCATCTCCAGATCTGCACTTAGAACGGATGATCTCGAATACTTTCGGTCTTCGATTTCTTTCGGTTACCTCTCATCTTTAGTTTCCTTCCTGCCTACTACCTTCGACCAAGCTCGCCTGATCAAACTGTTCTTATTATGTCGCTGCTGATTGCAGTGGCACACTTTGTACATAGAAGCAGCAATATTTGGTGGGTGAGTGGTTTGAAAGAGTATAAAAATGGCAGGTCCTTGATTTCTGTCGTGAATGAGCATGTCTGTTTTCTAACTTCAGTAAACTTATCTTTAGGAGCTCTTCTAAGATGCTCCAAATTATTAAGAGTAGTTCATTTTTAACAAACTAATGGCTAATAGTGTCTCTTGGGGCAACTCTAGCAGAGTCCCCATCGTATGTGCGATCGCCACAATGCATATGAAGCGTGCTCCATTTGCATTTGGAGTCTACGCAGGCGGCACGCAAACTCAGAGTCGTCGTATCTTCACCTTCAGTATTTATTTATTTATTTATTTATTTTCAAGCCAAACACTTTGATTCCCTCCAAATGTAAATGTTTAGCACGCCAAGCAAATATGCACATAGTTTTTGACAAGTTTCATGAAAAAACATTTAAACCGGCACAAAAATATGCAAGTCACATGTTGCCCCCGAGTGCACCATCCCATCCTTCTCCAGGTGTGTTGTGCCATTGACTGAGGTTCATGGAGCGTATGATCACATCTCACGCCTTCCCTCAAAAATCCCGCACCACTGAATCAATTTGGCTCGGATCCAACATGATGAGCCACTTATGCTTGACTATGTGTTGTTCCCTCATTTGATCTTCCTTAAGTTGGAGCCTACGCGCCTCCATCTTCTGCTGATTTTGGAGCCTACATGCCACCATCTCTTCCTGACGCCGTATGCTCTCTTGCATAGCATCCCATCTCGCCCTCTTCTCTTGGTTCTCTCCTCCATCTCTAGCTTTGTTTAATTTCTCTTCTCATATACTTTCTTGCCTTTGTCAACTCATCTATATTTTTTTTATCGCCTCCACCTCTCCTTCTCTCATGAGCTTCTCCTTTCCAGTCTTCCTCCCGTCAGGCCCACCTATGTTGTACGCCGGAGTGGGATTTTTGGGCACCTTTCCCTTTCCTCTCCAACACCATCATCATCTTCACTGTCGTCCATCTCAAGAGAGGAATTGTTGCACTTCCCAGCTTTTGGATTGCCATCATCACTCCAACAAATTGCAACAATGATGGAGGCCAAACAATTTTTCTTCGACTTGGCCATTTATTGGTACCTCTCTTGGTTAAGTTAACCTAAAACAAACAAATGCTCAAAATTATGAGAATGTTCAAAGTAATGAAAATGTGGCAATCAAAAAACAATAAAATTGCTTACATATTGGTCTATGGTGACACCGCTAGGAGGAGCGTGCTTCACTTTCTCCAAACAACCCTCCAAGTGGCTGCAAATCTCTTGGATCATGCCCCATCGGTTCGTGATAGATTTGAGGGAACAATCTGTTCTCCACCCAAGATGATATTTGAAACGATCCTCATTGTGCTTCCAACGCTTTGCGCTTGATTGACTTTCTCAGTGCCCGCATTGAGAGATATATGTTCCCATGCCATGACAAGCGGAATATCCTCATTGGGCTTAAAGTTTGTTCCCCAAACTGCCTTCTTCTTCGATGAGCCGAAAGACTCAAATTGAAACAAGCGAGAACGTTGTGCCCTTGAAATCGACATTATTTGTCCCGAAATCACAAATCATACTATTGAGAAATGATCCATCGTCCAAGGTTGATTCCCCAAATTCATAAAATTAGTGCTACATCGCAAACATTGCACATTTGCCAGCAATTTCCCACGATCATCCCGCATTCAATTGAACAAAAAAAAGAATGCAAGGAAAACGATTGTTGTTTTATACCTCATTGTCGTTTATGGTCCGACGTATGACTGGAAGGCGCCATAGTTCCGCCAGTCGGCACAAGGAAGCGAGGAGGGGGGATGAGGGCCTTCCTCGTCTTCTTCTTTGGTCCCTTCGCAGAGGACCGTAGTAGCTCTGGCGGGGGGAGGCCACAACCTCAATGTGGCGTCATAGCCTTCGCTACGTCCGCGTCAGATTCTTCGCAACCATGGTGGATGAGGTACTAGCCTAGGCGGTGGTGCCAGACTATCAGAACCGCAGAAGGTGTGTGAGTTGTCCGAGCCATAGGAGGCGCGGGATCTGACTCCAAAACAATGAAATTGGACGCAGGGGTCGAGGCACCGTCCATGCCGTCATTAGCAGGGGCTGGGGACGAGCCAAAGTGGTGAAAGGCAATGCTACAGCGAGGCAGGGGAGGTGGTTGCGCGGACGAAAAGAACAGTGGAAGGGGAAAGGTCCCTCACGCCAAACCGTTTTGGGATGGAGTGCGCTACAAATATGCACCATAGTCACCAAATGCGAAGGCCAGCGGGCTTGGTTTGGAGCTTCCTCTAAAAATTATAGTGATCGAGGGCGGGATGGCGACTCTGCTAGAGTCTCTTTTTCAGCCAAAATCGCCATAATGATATGGTAACACTCTTTCTCCTCATTAAATATAGGAACAATTGTATTCGTGCCCCTAGTTGGGTCACGCTCGACTGATTTGCCCCTAGGCGACTGCTCACTGGTCGGAACCGCCCCGGAAGGGCAAAAACACAAGGCGAGTGAAGTGAGCTGGGCAAAACCGCAATTGTTGAAAAAATAAGGGCAAATCAGTCGAGTGTGACCCAACTAGGGGCACGAATACAAAAATCCCTTAAATATAGTGTCACCTTAGATTTTTGCCTAGATATCAATACTAAGATATAGTCCAAGGTGGAGCACTCGGAGTGTAGTTAGAAAGTAAGATTTTGTCAAACATTGTTTGGAGCTAATATGACCTTTGCACTTCTACAAATAAGGAAGAAATTTACACTAGCATTATTAACGCACAAACGTAAATAAACAAGTTATAAGTTTACTAGTTGACTACTATGTATTTATGTTTCCAGCTTTGCTTTGTAGAACCATTCCATGGATGAAGTTAATTTGTTTATTGACATTTGACATGCACATGCTAGACTAATTATTAACTATTGTGACGCCCCCAGACCGTTGCGCCAGGTATCTTCCAGTTATTCGCTGTTATTGTCATGTCATTCGCTTGCGTGTTGCATCTTGTCATGTCATCATGTACATTGCATCATCATGTTTTTAAAACTTACATCCGTCCCGGCCTCCCCGTTCCTTCCGTTGTCCGTTCTGAGTCCAATCACACTTGCACGAGCCCGCGGCACGTCCGAAATATTATTTTATAAGTGGTCGGAAAATGTTCTCAGAATGGGATGAGAGTTGGCGTGTGGTCTTATTATGTTCTATGTAGGCCGCCTGCCAAGTTTCATCGCATTCGGAGCTCGTTTGATAGCCCAACGGTTAAACTTATAACGGCATTATAGCCGGTCAAAACGTCGGACGTTTTCGGTCTCCGGAAACTGCTGTCGGGCATCTCTCTTCTCTTTCTTCTGAGCCATCAAACCCCTCTCCTTCGTTGACCGTTCCGAGACCAATCGGATTATCAATTTCCCTCTTGCCAAACCACCTACTCCCTCTTTGCACAGTGCATCGACCCCTCGCGCGCGTCCGAAAGTTGTCCCGGACCCGACCCGGACAGTTGTCACCGTTGGATCCGGATCATCCCCAAACATCTACAAAACATCTCTGTTTTGTTATTTGGACTCCCTAACCAATTTATTCCCGACCGCCTGATTACGATCGGACGGACCGAATGCCCCCCCTAACCTAATCCAACAACATATATATAGAAAGCAACCCTAATTTTGAGGAGAGTTGTCCCATCCATCCACTTCTTCCACCGCCACCCTCTCTCTAAATCCTCCTCGGAGTCCACATCGAGCCAACCACACAACACCAGCCAGATCCAAAAATTTCACCCACTTCCCTCGTGTCTCCTCGCTGGTTGGAGCCTCCGAAGCCGCAGCTCCTGCCCGCTGAGCCCCTCGTCCCCGTGCCCCTGGTTTGCTCGATCCAGAGGAGAGGAGCACGCCATCGTCATGCTCCTCCCAGCTCCCTCGCTCTCGTTTGGATCGAGGGGAGGAGCCCCTCGACCTCGACCCGCTGCCCCGCCAAGTCGTTGGAGTCCGCCGTGGCGTCCGATTTCCGCCGGAGTTGCTCTGTTCCTCGCACGAAACAGCAGGCCATCCTCACCGCCCTGCCCTTTTTTTCTCTCCTTCGCCGAAGCTCTCTCTGCCTCCCTGACCTCTCTTCCTCTCTTGGAGCAGCAGCAGAAGCTTCCGCCGCCGCGCCGTGTTGCCGTTCCTCTACTTCGTCGCCGTCCAGGAACGCCCCGAGTCCACCACCGCCGCCCTGCTTGCCTCCTCTGCTTCGGGCCATGTCCAGCACCGCGTTGACTCCTGCATCCGCCACCGCTGCCGCCTTTGGCCACCAGTCGTCAAGCCTCGGCCATCCCCGTTGTCAGCCGCCTCGAGTTCGCCGCCCTTCGCTGCGGCCTCGTCGCTGTCCAGCAGTCCTGCCGCTTCCAGTCCCTGCATCGCCGCCAAGGCCTCGTCGCCGGAGTCTCGTGCGTCGTCGTGCACCGGTCCAGCTGCTGCGTCTTCTTTTCGAGGGAGACGACCGCGTCGACCTCCCCTGCCTCTTCTGCGTCGCCGTTGAAGCTGCGCCTCGCCGGAGAGCTCCCCGCCGTCATTGATTCTGCTTCGCCTGAACCGGGGATCCTCTTTCTGCTTCACCCCGCGCCGAGTCTCGCTTCCGTTGACTGCCTCCATGCTCGATCTGGCCGAGTCGTCGAACGCAGCAGACCCAGCGCGTTTGACCAGGCCCAGTGTGCCCGCTCGATCCGGCCAAGCCTTCTCCACCAATGGGTTGAAGCCCATGGGTGAGCAGCCCTCCGCCCCTGTGTATTGTTGGGCTGGCCTCTGTTTCAGCCCGCGTATGTTTTTTTTCAACGC